ACAAATATATTGATAATTACTTATAATGACTTATAACTTATTTACATACTTGTTGGTTCATATATGAACAATTAGGATGTGTCTTGTTTTATCAATGCCCATTGGAAGATTTTTTGACCATTTTTTGTCATCACTGATTTGAAATATATCCAATATGTAATAATTTCAAAGTTTAAGACCAGTCCTTTTGATTGGACACCTGCTACTGTATATGTTTTGGCTGATATGTTCATAAGAATTTGCATGAAGATTTTCATAAAAATTTTCAGACATTTAATCAATAAGTCCAAAATATTTTTTTTTGTTCAAATGTGTATCGATTATTTTCCGTACAGAAAATTATTGACGATACATCTATATCATTTCTATCGATGACAGCTCTAATAGAAGGAATTTTAAACCAAAATCTGAGAACTGGAGACATTAATGGAATAGCCTACAGAATAGCCTGGTCAGATTGTACGGGTGCGCAGTCTGGGGCTCAGGTAAAAGTCTACAACACTACTGATAGCATTATGGGCCTGTCGCTGAATTATCGAGACTCGTATTATTCTAAAAGAGATTCATCCTGCATAGAGCTGTAGCTTGCTAATTGAGGATAAAGAATCAATACGTAGGTTACATGACGCTCTTCCTCTGACGGTCTGGCATTTTAAACTAACAATCAATAAAGAATGATGAAAGTTACAAAGATGATCTAAAATACATGCAATTAAAAGGCTTTTAATATCCGTGCCGAATATGACAACAAAAAATGATTGTTTTTAGTCATGTTATTAAAAAAACCAAACTACGTGCTTTGAAATTAACATGCTATTTCCTTAACACATGAACAATGTTGAGTTATAGTTGTACTTGTTTATAATTATACATGGCGATAAGTAATATAAGAATTTTAATAAACCAAATATGGTTGTGAGTTCATGAAACTTATTTGTTTATTCATAGACTTGCACATGTATAATTATAAGACTTACTATTTAAAAGTTGTTCTTGTTAATTCATGGCCTTATATGGAAGTTTTAGTACATGATATGGTGTTGTTAATTCATGGCCTCTATAGAAGCTCTAGTTCATGAGATGTTGTTTTTCATTGCCTTATATAGAAGTTATAGTTCATGAGGTGTTGTTGTCAATTCATGGCTTCATATAGAAGTTTTATTTTATGAGATGTTGTTGTTAATTCATGGCCTTATATAGAAATTCTAGTTTATGACATGTTGTTGTTGATTCCTTACCTTATATAGAAGCTCTAGTTTATGAGATGTTGTGTTGTTCATTCATGGCCTATATAGAAGCTCTAGTTTATGAGATGTTGTTGTTAATTCATGGTCATGGCCTTCAATAGAAGTTAAAGTTCATGAGGTTGTGTTGTTCATTCATGGCCTTATATAGAAGCTCTAGTTTATGAGATGTTGTTCTTAATTCATGGCCTTCAATAGAAGTAAAAGTTCATGAGGTTGTGTTGTTCATTCATGGCCTATATAGAAGTTCTAATTCATAAGGTGATGCTTCTAATTAATGGTCTTATATTAGAGTTCTAGATTGTGAGGTGATGTTAGTTCATGGTCTTATATAGGAATTCCAAAGTACAAGGTTATGTTGTCTTATTCATTGTCCTATAAAAGAGTTCTAGTTCATGTGTTGTTGCTTGTTACTTTATGCTTTTAATAAGAGCTGTTGTTGTTTATATAAAAGTTCTTATTCATGAGGAATTATTGGCTTAATGGCCTGATATAAGAGATCAAATTCATGAGGTGTTGTTATTTTATGGCCTTAAATGTAAAATAAATAACAGATCTAGTTCATAAGATATTGTTCTTAATTCAAGGCTTTATGTAAAGGTTATAGTTCATAAAACTTTGTTGGTTCTTTACAGAATTATTTGGATTCTTTTGATAATAATTGCAGAGAGAGATGAAGTAACAAAAAATATCTCTTTTGTTTAAGACAACATAAATAATGCCTAACTTAACATTTAATTAAGGGATTTTGCAAGGCAGTATCACCCACTTTCTCAGAAACATTATTTTTTCATTTCAATTATTTAGGGCGCAATAATTGAAAAAAGTACTAATATTTTTATTTTCAGAAGCTTTTTGTTCTACAGTTTCCAGAATGGTAATCATTTTCCCTATATCTGAATCACGTTTTTCTTCATTTGCTTTTTGGCCATTAGTAAACTTAATAGTGAATTAGTACTTTTGTATGGAAGTTAAAATACTACTTTGTTTACATTTCACTACTTCAGTTACAAATAATTTTGCATACAGCACTTTAACATGATCTAAATGGATTATAAAAATATTGTAAAACACAAATTTGCCATTTCTTGAGAGAAATGATTGTCTAGTAATTTCTGAGGCATAATGTGCCTGTAAGTAGTTTGTTATGATTTTTACTGTGGTACAAACAAATAGTTTGCTGATTATAGCTTTGTATTTGTGTAACAGAATATAGTGGTTTATGATCAGAATATAGTGGTTTTAGTCTTTTAGACCTACAAAATTTGCTCACTTGATTTGTATTGGGTAACTACCATAAAGTTCCTATCAAACGCCCTTCTTCAGGAAAACACCCCCTCCCCCCACTTTGGAAAACATTAGTCCCCATGGGGCATTAAATAGGAAATTTACGGTATATAGGTAGTTGAATGTGAGGAATTTCGAAACCACATATTACATATTGTAAGGTACAGTTGTTTTGATCATATAAAAGTGTTTTATGAATTGAAAAGACTAAATGTTTACCAGTAAAAAAGCATGCATGCTGTGTCAGTAAATGTCTTCCTCAATAGAAGCAGTCCATTAAAGAGACTGGTATTTTGATGTGAGTTCTAAATATAGAATTCTTGCTAGATTTTCTATAATTTGAATTGGAGTCTTTTTTTTGTGCTTAAAGTTATATAAAAGCGGAGGGAAGGCATTGCGTTTGGAAAAATAGATATAATATTAAGTAACTGAATAATCAAAGATAATATATATGAAAATGGTGCTACATGAGCCTGTTTACTTCAAACTTGTAGTCTACCCTATTACTGTTATGTATATTTTTTGACATTTCTAAATTTCTAATGGAGTTTGCTGAATTTTGAATGATTTTTCTATGCTTCTACTTAAGCAGGGTTGGTTGGGGAGGGAGTGGGGGGAGGTGGAGTAGCACAGCTAGATTTGTCCTCGGCTGTTCATCATGCTGTTCAGCAGTCACACTGTGTGCCCATAGACTGTCAAAACAGTAGAATGTGTGGGCAAATTTCTAGTTTAACAATCAGATTTCAATAGTTTAACAATCAGTTTTCCAAATTTCTATGAGACATCCAAAAACTTTGATTTCCAATTTACCATGAAACTTGTAAAAACAACAACAAAAATGTATCATCCTCTGACTCAGTATTTATGTAAGAAATATTAACATTATCACCTTGAAGAAACCATATTTAATTTGATTGCAAGTTGTCAATTTTATTATTCTTAGCATGACTATTAAAAGAAAAGAGAAGAGGTATTGTACTCCTAGGCTTCAGCGTTGCCGCACATTTTGGTTTAGTTTTTGCGTGCCAATTAAGTCATCTCCAAAACTTATGATTGGAATGGACTTGTTTTCTATGATTATCTAGTGTGACAGGCACATGCAGGTCCCATAACTCTTGAATTGCCTTTTTACAGAGTTATGCCCCTTTTCTTACTGTAAAGTACAAAGAATAGTCAAGCGCGCTGCCTGAAAGACAGCTCTTGTTATATTTATCTTCTATGGTGAACACAACATTACGGTGAAGGCAATACGAGTTGATAACACTGGCCTTGACGAAATGTAATAAAAGGTCTGGATTTCAATGTTTCAATGAAAATATTTGCATTATGTAATAAATACCACTTTTGCTAGCGTGTTAAAGGACTTTACATATTGACTTAAAGTCTGTTTGCAAACATAGGTAATTTATAAGATTTCATAAATTACAGTAGTGTTTTGCATTTCTTTTGAAGGCTTGAAGAGGGCAGTAGCTCAAGTTACTGTATTTCTCATATAAGATGTGCCTCTGAAATGTGCTTAAATATGTATTTACCTTGTGAAGTGTCCCTTTGAATGACCTGAAGTTGGTGCATTTCCCTTATTAAATGTATTATGATTGACATAAAGCTACTTTCATGTAAAATGTGCCTTTAAATGTGCTTGATTTAGCATATTTTCTTTATGTGACTGGTAGTTAAGACTTTAATAATGACCAAAGGTGTCTTGAAATAATGGCTTTAAGTTGACCAGTACTGGTACATTTATTGCAGTACTGGTATATTGTTGTACAAGTACTGGTATCTTATGGTACCAGTACTGGTATATTACTGCACCAGTACTTGTATATTATTGTACCAATACTGTAACATTATTGAACAAGAACTGGTATATTATTGCAGTATTGGTATATAATTGTACCAGTACTGGTATATTATTGCACCAGTATTGCTATATTATTGCACCAGTACTGGTACATTATTGCAGTATTGGTATATAATTGTACCAGTACTGGTATATTATTGCACAATAGTACTGGTACATTATTGCAGTACTGGTATATTATTGCAGTACTGGTATATTATTACAACAGTATTGCTATATTATTACAATAGTACTGGTACATTATTGCAGTATTGGTATATAATTGTAAAAGTACTGGTATATTATTGCAACAGTACTGGTATATTATTGCAGTACTGGTATATTATTGCAGTATTGGTATATTATTCCACCAGTACTGGTATATTATTGCACCAGTACTGGTATATTATTGCAACAGTACTGGTATATTATTGCAGTATTGGTATATAATTGCACCAGTACTGGTATATTATTGCAACAGTATTGCTATATTATTACAATAGTACTGGTACATTATTGCAGTATTGGTATATTATTCCACCAGTACTGGTATATTATTGCACCAGTAGTATACATATAAGCTGCATGGTTAAAGAAATATATAATATATATTTTTGTACACATTTCAGGCTTTGGATGGGTTCTTATTTGTTGTGAATTCACAAGGAAAAGTTGAATTTGTGTCTGACAACGTAACCCAGTTTATAAAATATTCACAGGTAAGTTTTTAACTCATGACTTTATAAATTAGTTGCAGACATAAATTTATGATGTAGTTTAAATAAGTTTAAAACACATGAAGTAATAAAATAGTTCCAGGTAAGTTTAAAACAAATGAATTTATAGTGTTTTAAGTATGTTTAAAACACATGAATTTATCTAGTGGTTTAAGTAAATTTCAAAACACATGAATTTATTGTGGTTTAAGAAAATTTAAAACACATAAAAGTAATAATATGGTTGTAGGTTAATTTAAAACATAAGAATTTATAATGTTTAAAGTTAAAACTCATTAAATAATAAAGTGGTTGCAGGTAAGTTTACAACACATGTATTTATAGTGGTGTAAGGAAAGTTAAAAAACCATAAATGATAAAATGGTTGCAGGCAAGTTTAAAACACATGAATTTATATAGTGGTTTAAAAGTAAGTAAGTCTCAAATGCATGAATGTATAAAATGGTTGCAGGCAAGTTTAAAACACATGAATTTATGGTGGTTAAAGTAAAGTTTAAACACATGAAATAATAAAGTGGTTGCAGGTAAGTTTAAAACATGAATTTATAGTGGTGTAAGTAAAGATAAAACACATGAAATAATAAAGTGGTTGCAGGTAAGTTTAAAACACATGAATTTATAGCGGTGTAAGTAAAGTTAAAACACATTAAATAATAAAATGGTTGCAGGCAAGTTTAAAATAAATGAATTTATGGTGGTTAAAGTAAAGTTAAAACACATGAAATAATAAAGTGGTTGCAGGTAAGTTTAAAACACATGAACTTATATAGTGGTTTAAAAGTAAGTAAGTCTCAAATGCATGAATGTATAAAATGGTTGCAGGCAAGTTTAAAACACATGAATTTATAGCGGTGTAAGTAAAGTTAAAACACATTAAATAATAAAATGGTTGCAGGCAAGTTTAAAACACATGAATTTATGGTGGTTAAAGTAAAGTTAAAACACATGAAATAATAAAGTGGTTGCAGGTAAGTTTAAAACACATGAATTTATAGTGGTGGAAGTAAAGATAAAACAAATAAAATAATAAAGTGGTTGCAGGTAAGTTTAAAACACATGAATTTATAGCGGTGTAAGTAAAGTTAAAACACATTAAATAATAAAATGGTTGCAGGCAAGTTTAAAACACATGAATTTATGGTGGTTAAAGTAAAGTTAAAACACATGAAAAAATAAAGTGGTTGCAGGTAAGTTTAATACATAAATTTATAGCGGTGTAAGTTAAGTTAAAACACAATAAATAATAAAGTGGTTGCAGGTAAGTTTAAAACACATGCATTTATAGCGGTGTAAGTAAAGTTAAAACACATTGAATAATGAAATAGTTGCAGGCAAGTTTAAAACAAATGAATTTATAGTGGTTAAAGTAAAATTTATACACTTGAAATAATAAAGTGGTTGCAGGTAAGTTTAAAACACATGAACTTATATAGTGGTTTAAAAGTAAGTAAGTCTCAAATGCATGAATGTATAAAATGGTTGCAGGCAAGTTTAAAACACATGAATTTATAGTGGTTAAAGTAAAGTTTATACACTTGAAATAATAAAGTGGTTGCAGGTAAGTTTAAAACACATGAAATTATATAGTGGTTTAAAAGTAAGTAAGTCTCAAATGAATGATTGCAGGCAAGTTTAAAACACATGAATTTATGGTGGTTAAAGTAAAGTTTATACACTTGAAATAATAAAGTGGTTGCAGATAAGTTTAAAGCACATGAATTTGTTGTGGTTTAAGTAAATTTAAACTACATGATGGTTGCAGGTAAGTTTAAATCACATAATAAAGTGATTACAGGTAAGTTTACATACATTTAAAAGATATTTCCAAGTAATTTATCCTTCATATTGAAATACTAACAGATTTACATGCTTTTTCTTAACATTTTCAATCAAAATAAAAAAAAACAACCCCCGAAGATGTTTTAAACTTCCTATTTTAAAAAGTACTCAATTTAGAAATATTTTATTTGAAAACTCTTCTTAAATAATAATAATTAAATTGTTTAATCGGCTGTTGACTTGGTAAGAGACTTTAGTTGTTTGTTGATTGAATCAATGGAGAGGCATTTTACTCCTGGGACCGTTTTCTTCTGACAAGGCTCAGTTTACGAGAATATTTGCTTGTAGGATTGTCATATTGAACAAATTACATTTGTAACCGTAGTGCAGTAACGGGTTAAGTGCTTCTAAATTTAATAGGAGTTAACCAGTTATTGCACTAAGGTGATGCGTTGTAGTTTACTTCATGTTCCAACCAACCACAGGCAGTTTTAGAAAAGCCGACCTGAATCATTGTTTTCATTATTCACGAATGAGCCGTGTCACGACAAAACCAACATAATAGGTTTGCAACCAGCATGGATCCAGACCAGCCTGCGCATCCGCGCAGTCTGATCAGGATCCATGCTGTTCGCTATCAGGTTCTCTACTTGTAATAGAGTTGGTAAGCGAACAGTCTGGATCCATACTGGTCACAAACCCATTATGTTGATTTTGTCATGACATGGCTCAAATATTGTTTGCTTTTAAGGCTTCATGCCTGTCAAGATGAGCCAATATACGACGAGAAAACAAAACTTGAAAAAAAATTTACTAAGATTTATTACTAAATTATATTTGCATATCTCTAGTGAGTTTAATACATGAATATAATATTCTATTTATCACATACCCCACAATATTATAAGAACTGTTTATAGTAGAAACAATCATTTTATCAGTAATGTGCCCATAGTGTGACATTAACATACATTTGTAAAACACAAATATATACACAGTCGTGCAATATTGTTTTTTACAGAGTAGGAAAATTGGCATGTGCGTGTGTGATAAATAAAACATAAATTATGAAATATTACGGAAGCATTTGAACAAAAAGCCGGCATTATTATACTACAATGCAAGAAATAGATTCTTGAACTCAAATAACTTTATTTGTGTTCTAAAAAAACCTCCGGCACAAAATACGTAGTAAACATACAACAGTTTAGTAATACTGTTGAGTCATCTTAACAATATCGACATCTATTTCCATTCTAATGTGCTAATGAAAAAGAGAAATGATAAATACTTGTTGAACATCATTGAGCGGAGAAGAAATTTTCCTGACGTCATTTAGTTTATTAATGCCACATTTTGCGTCATATGTTGTGTAAGCATTCCATTTTTAAGCTGTACGTATATTGTATACCAAGGCATATTTTACTGCTGTTTAACCTTTTTAATTACATGCTAATCATCTAAAATGGACTTGTCCATTTCCAATCTGGACAAAACCATTGATCAATTTAAGGGTTATTTTGGTGGGTACAGTGCAGACCATAATCAGACCGTGCGGATGTGCCAGCTGATCTTGGTAAGGACTAGTTGAGTGGGTAGAAATCAAATGTCGCACGCAGGCTATGGGTTAATAGGGAAATATATTGAAGCGTGTCAGAAACATTTTTATAACATACCTGTGCTGCTTTTGCGACTCACTAAGAAGGGTATTGGTTGGCTGTGCATATATTTTGACGTGGCGTCATTTGAGTTATACAGTTGCTATAGCCTAGAGACGCGCTGAATGTTAGCGATACAATATGAGTGCGTAAATAGAAAAAGCTATTATTTTTCCCATAAACAGTTCTTCATTTGGATATGAGATAAATAAAATTTTAGATTCATTAAGCTTTAGTACTAGATTTATTCAACTTGTTCAATAAATTCAATACTGAACCTTCACTCATTCAATATCCTCTATATATGTGCTATTTATTTTCTGCTTTCAGGATGATCTAATTGGCAAAAGTGTTTACAATATAATCCATGTAGGAGACCATGCTCAGTTCAGCAACAACCTTCTTCCTATGTCAGTCAGTAAGTAACTTTGTTTATTTCGTTTATTCTCATATAAACGCACCACAGGGGCGTTACATTTTCTAAAGCATGTGGAACGAATACAAGTTCAAGAAATTATGCTGAAATTTTTTCTAGTGTAAAACCTACACAAACGATAATTTTATTGTGAAAATTAGAGTTTAGTGGCATTGAATAATGTAAACATTAAAGAAATACAGTGAAAAATGAAGGTAGCATACTATCGAAAACAAATATGTCACTTACAATTTCTTGGAGCACACTAACAGTTTTTGCAATGTTCCATAACTTTAAACAATTGAATTTCCGGTGTACAGATAGGGGACACCAATTGAAACACTCTTGATCAATTTATAGAAATTATGTATGTATTACATACCATTAAAAGAGAAAGATATGCTGCTGTCTTTTGATATCTATCAGTCATATCAGGCTCGGCTGATATGGGCTGAAAGGGGCTAGCTGAGCCCATTCTGCTCATATCAGCCGAGCCTGAAAAAAATTTATATGTCTAGATCAAATATAAACTTTTAATTGAATTTGGTACAAGAAAATGGTGTAATCTTTGAGAACCCTTCACCCTTTCACTACAATGTTCTTATTCTAGTGTGTCTGCTTGACTTTGGCTCTTGTTTAAGCTTAACAAATGATCAATGTCAGCTTGTGAAATAAACTTCAAATTTCAGGTAGTGGCATTGGAGGAATAAGTTGGCCGTCGGACAATCTTGGTGGAAAAGGTCGTGTATTCAATTGTCGGCTGCTTATTAAACCTTCATGTAAGTATCTGCAGAGGATTGTGAGAGGGGCGGGGCATAGTGATGACTCCCCATCCGTCCATCTTTCCCTCTGTCTGTCTGTTTGTTCGTCACACTCTTATCCGGTTAAAAACTTGAAAAATATTGAAGGAAATTAATTAAAAATTAACACATTGACAGGGACTAGTGAGATAAGAGTAATAATTCTTGGATATCAGACTGGCGTTTCCTTAAGTTTTACCCATGTGGGGTACCAGAGGGTTTTGTGCTATACAATGATGTCATTTTAGCACCTTTTACGAATGAAACTGCAAGTCTTGGTTGACGTCATTTTGCCATTATGAAAATAGCTATGGATGTCCATGAAAAATTTATTTTATTGAGGTAAAGCATTTAAAATATGATAGAATCTGGTATATGTGTTGGCGGTTCAGATTAGAATATCTGTCCCTTGGGTACCTGCCCATGGGTGGCATCGTAGCAAGCCTCGTTACCACCCAATGAGAGTGAACCTTCCGGACAGATATTCATATGATGACTATTATTATTCTTCTTTACTTAATTTCTAACTTTCAAGGTGAAACATTGTGAGTTATCAGTTTTTCAGTGTCAATTTTTTAACAACTGCTTGGTTTCTCTGTTTTATGTGCTTTGGTAAAACGTAGGGAGTTTATGTTAATTTATTAAGGAAGGGGTATACAGTATTGTGCTGTTTTCAGTATTTTAATAAAGATTTAAAAGAAAATTAGAAAGTTATTGGAAATTATATGAAATTAAATCATTTGATTTCAGTGTTGAATTAGAGAGTTTATAGATTTTAATTTAATAGTTTTATGTAAGAAATTTAAAATTAAATTGATATAAACTGTGATAAATAAAAGAAAATGAAATTCATTACAGTTTTAATAAATGTAAGAAATGGGAATTTATAAATTGATCATGTAAATTAATGTAAATGATAGGAGTTTATGAAACTGACCATGTAGATTAATGTAAATAATAGGAGTTTATGAAACTGATCATGTAGATCATGAAACTGACTACCGTATGTAGATTAATGTAAACGATAGGAGGTTATGAAACTGACCATGTAGATTAATGTAAACGATAGGAGTTTATAAAACTGACCATGTGGATTAATGTAGATGATAGGAGTTTATGAAACTGACCATGTAGATTAATGTAAATAATAGGAGTTTATGAAACTGATCATGTAGATCGATGTAAATGATAGGAATTTATGAAACTGATCTTTGTAGTTTATAAAACTGATGATGTAAATTAATGTAAATTATAGGAATTTATGGAATTGACCCTGTAGATTAATGTATATGGTAGGAGTTTATGAAACTGACCATGTGGATTTATGTTAATAATAGGAGAGTTTATGTAAGTGGAATAAAAGTTTCTTATTTAGAAAATAAAGGGGAATATTTTGTGTTTCATTGACAGGCAATGATAACGATGATTTGGAAACCAAACAAACATACGTCCATCAGTACGAAAGCTTGCAAATTTCATCCATTCTACACCCATTTGATACGTTCATTGAAAACTCGGAGAATAATGGTAAGTACTTGGCCTTGTGATATTTTAAAAATGACCTTGATTTTTTTTTTTACAATTACATATGAGCTGATTCATTTGAGCTTGTATGTTTGAATAATAATCATTAAACTGTATTTGACTGATGATGTTGTATTTGACCCCAAATGACCAATATTTTAACATGTTCAGAATACTAAAATGACCATTGACCTGATTATTTTACCACAATGACCTTTGACCTGATTATTTTACCACAATGACATTTGACCTAATTATTTTATCATAAATAACCTTAGGACTTGATTATATTTAACAAACTACAATGACATTTGACGTCAATAATTCACCACAATGACCTTTGACACGATTATATTTTCTCAAATGACCTTTGACCTGATTATATTTTCTCAAATGACCTTTGACCCGATTATATTTTCTCAAATGACCTTTGACCTGATTATTTTCAGACACGAGCTCCAGTCTAGTGTGTATCGCACGTAGACTCCCTCTTGCTGAGAAGACAAATACAATGCTTGGAGTGGAACAGTTTACTACAAAGCAGGATTTAAATGGAAAAATAATTGGCTGTGATATCAGGTGTGTATTTGGCTCATTTCTTAGCTTGACTATTTGAAGAATAGGGAGAGCTATTGTACTCACCTAGGCATTGGTGTCACACTTTGATAAAGTTTTTGAGCGGAAGTTTGTATTTCCAAAACTACTGATTGGGGTTGAAATCTCCTCTAGCGTAAATATCAACAAACCTGTCGTTAAATTCTACCCTTGCACAATTCGCTTATATTTCATCACTCGAAATGTCTGGAATTTCAAATTTGCTAACTTTTCGAGATGCCGAAGTATCCACTTATACAGTGTGATTGTTATTACGTCATTCTAGAATTAGATTTAAGTTGTTATAGTTGATTAAATCAGTACCCTTTATCCCTGATGACTTTGTTATGCTGTGGGTTAGAACATCTGACCTGCTGGAAAAGAAAGTGATTCCTGTCAGTACAGAGTCGGGTCAGCCTGCGCATCCGTACAGTCATACACGGCTCTATACTCTTGGCAGTTTATTCCTTATACGTCATTGATTAATGAAATCCTTAAAAAATTCAAAAAGACTGTTCCAAATTCAAAGCTGGACAAGTTCATTTATGAAATTCAGGTTTAGGGTGAAATCTCGTCAACAGCTTGAATTCTCTGGGTAAAAAGAGAAATCGGCTATATTTTTGGAAAATAGACAAATCTTCCTAGCGATGGTATTGAACCAGAAAGTAATGTATGAACAAAAGCACCTGGTTTACTCTTGAAATCAGGGTTGTTGACATTTAATCAATTGCGTCAACCGATGATTAATGCACAAGAAAACAAAAGCTTTTCAAAATGTATCCCTATATATTGATTGTTTTCGATACTAGTGTTTAAAACTGTACCAAAATGAACAATCATATTCATGCTAATGAAAATCCTACGAAAGCTGTAGCTAAAAATAGATTCTAGATGATGTACTATGTTAGTAATTGTGAACATCATTTTGATATGTGTTTTGATCTTTTGTTCAGTTGTTGTTCAGATGAGGGATTTATGAGTATTTCCCCAAAACTTGGATTGTTTAGTTTGTGTGCTTGATAATAATGTTTTACTGCATGGATTTGGAATATTATTAGTGCTGTTTATCTTCAGTTGGTGTTTCACTGGTAAATTTTTTTATCTTTTTTTTTCTGTAAAATGAAAAAAAAATTAAGTAAATTCGTTTATGCAGAATCTTTTCCTCATAAATGTTATGTTAGCTCCTCTTCATCGCTGAGAAATAACTTATTTAAATTTTGTTTAGAAAAAACTGTTGTTAATAGATTTAACTCGCTACAATGCTGGAGCAGTACCCGAAATCATGATCAAAACGTAAAAAAATATCGCAAATCACTCAACATAGGCCATCGCTTGATTAGTTATGAAAGATTTGCAGGAGGTTATATATATAGTAACAATTTCACAACAATTAGAGTGATAACTATTCGTAGAAATGCATATGAAGGTTGTTGGAATATACAAATTTGTAGTTAACGCCTGTCGTACAAGTTCCTAACAAATGGTGTGATAAAAATTTCGAGATGAAAGGTGTTGAAACTATGGAGTGGCTTTCAAATTGTTTATGTTAGAATGCAAACGAAATTTGCTATAAACCAGGTAAACACTTGGAGAAAAAAAACGCAAAAAAAAAAAAAAAAAACCGATTCTGAGGCATAATGTGACTTTAAGCAAACAACTTGAAATGCTTGTATTAATATTTGATCTTAAAATAGGAATAGCAAGAAGCAGTGTAATACAGCATCGACTGTCCGTGACAACAACAACAACAAAAACAACAAATTATTAATGTAATGAATCTATCTCATAACTTTGTGAAATAACATAAGAATAATTCAGGTGCCCATCGGATGTTTTCCTTTTTCTGGACTTGTAGGCAAGAACAACAACAACAAATTATGGTTTGAAATGTTCTATTTTTCATGTTTCAGTGGAATAGCCCCAGGGCGATTTAGCTGTCCGGACTTTGTTGGTCAGAATATTCAAGAGTTTTGTCATGCTAATGATTTGCAACAATTGTCCAAACATTTACAAGAAGGTAAACTGATGTTCTTATCTGTTTTTAGCTCACCTGTCACAAAGTGACAGGGTGAGCTTTTGTGATCGCTTTTCGTCCGGCGTCCGGCCGTCCGGCGTCCGTCCGTCTGTCCGTAAACTTTTGCTTCAAATGACATCTCCTCATAAACCACTAAACCAATTTCATCCAAACTTCACAGGAATGTTCCTTTGGTGGTCACCTTTAAAAATTGTTTAAAGAATTTAATTCCATGCAGAACTCTGGTTGCCATGGCAACCGAAAGAAAAAACTTTAAATATCTTCTTTTAAAGAACCCAAAGAGCTAGAGCTAAGATATTTAGCATGAAACATGTTCTAATGAGTGTCTACCAAGTTTGTTCAAATAAAAGCCCTGGGGTCAAAATTGGCCCCGCACCAGGGGGGTCATTGATTTTCCCTATATGCATATAGTAAAAACTTAAAAAATCTTCTTTTAAAGAACTCAAAGAGCTAGAGCTAAGATATTTAGCATGAAACATGTTCTAATGGGTGTCTACTAAGTTTGTTCAAATAAAAGCCCTGGGGTCAAAATTGGCCCTGCCCCGGGGGTCATTGATTTTCCTTATATGTGTATAGCAAAAACTTAAAAAACCTCTTTGAAAAAATCCCAAATAGCTAGAGTTTAGATATTAAGCATGAAACATCTTCTAGTGAGTGTCTACAAAGTTTGTTCAAATTAAAGCCCTGGGGTCAAAATTGGCCCCGTCCCGGGGGTCATTGATTTCCTTATATGTGTATAGCAAAAACTTAAAAAATCTTCTTTGAAAAAACCCAAATAGCTAGAGTTAGATATTAAGCATGAAACATCTTCTAATAAGTGTCTACAAAGTTTGTTCAAATAAAAGCCCTTGGGTCAAAACTGGCCCTGCCCCAGGGGTGTCATTGTTTTTAACTATATGTGTATAGTAAAAACTTAAAAAATCTTCTTTTAAAAAACCCAATGAGCTAGAGCTTAGATGTTTAGCATGAAACATCTTCTTATGGGTTTCTACCAAGTTTGTTCAAATAAAAGCCCTTGGGTTAAAATTAACTCTGCCTGGGGGGGGGGAGAAGGTCATTGTTTTCCTTATATGTGTATAGCAAAAACATAACATCATGAACATCATGAAACATCTTCTAATGGGTGTCTTAATTCCAAGTTTGTTCAAATAAAAGCCCTGGGGTTTAAACTGGCCCCGTTTTCGGGGGCCTATATACAGGTGAGCGACCTCAGGGCCATTATGGCCCTCTTGTTTTTTTTTGTTTTTTTTTATTAACAGAAATTGCCGTAGAAACAAAATACGCTTTCTGCTGGCCATATTTATTAGCTCTTTACCATAATGTTCTTCCTGTGATGTGTATGACTTTAGAAATAAGATAAAGTTGGGCGTGGTCCCCACTAGGTGGTGGCAGTTGTGTTTTAACTATCCTTGCATTTGTCTGTCTTGCCTAAACCTGTTAAATTTTGTAATTTTGTCCAACTTTGAATTTGGGTCCATCCATTCAAAGTTTGAGGGATATGAGTATAGTACTACAAAAATTGAGCTACCAATAGTCAAACTGCATAGATGTACAGGCATGCCAGGCTGTATACTGCCGGCAAAAGCTAATCACGCTTGGTGCCAGCAGTGTAAGGGATAATACAAGTTTTATGCTGAAAAAAATTCTAGTCTTATACCTTGTTTTTTCAGCTGTTAATAATGGAAGTAACACAAGCGGTGTGTACCGCTTTAAAATGCAGGAAAGCCGCTATGCCTTTGTTCAGACTAAGAGCAAGTTGTTCCAGAATGCCATCAATGGATCATCAGAGTTTATTATGTCCACTCACTCAATTATCAGGTATAAACATTTGATCTTGAACTTGCTTATGAAACAGATTTACAATCTACATGTCTGTGAAATACGATAATGAACTTTTTTTTTGTGTGAATCGATACTGTGAATTAAAAAACGGTATGGTTTGGTATTCATTTTAAAAAGATGGTAAGCAGAAATGGCCATTTGGATGCTGATTGGTTAAGGCCATTATCTTCAAATCACTTGGCTTATAAGTGGTGTCATGGCCGAGTGGTTAACACGTCAGACAAGTAATCTAATGATTGCTGGCCACATGGGTTCAAACCCTGTCCGGGGCAAGCCGTTGTTTCCGTGAGCAAGAAACTTTACACTCATTGCTCAGTACTGATTGGTTCCAATAACAGAATCAAAAGTGTGTCTATAAGCTTATAGCTTTCTACAAAATCAAACTTTTATAAATTCTGTATAAACAAAATCACCTGCCCCTTGCCACTGAATCCCACAAAGCCACATTGGGCCAACATCCAATGGCTCATGAGCTTGTAGCTAAAAAAAAACAACAAAGGAAATCACACTAGCCATCAGTGTAAGTGGAAATCTTTACTAGTGAATGTGAGAAAATGCCTAATAAAGATCAGGGAAAATCTAATAAACTGAGAATATTGTTTGTCCATCCACACCTCTGACATTTCAGGTGGTAATTCTGACCATTTTTGAGAAATAATTTTTGTTTTTGTCTTTTGTTGTTTTTTTTCTATCGGGAATTGCAGTTTTAGGTCTTGTGATTCTTTATAATTGTCCGATCATTATTTACATATCAAATATTTTTCAGGGAATTTAATTCTTACAATTTTTTTTTCTTTCATCATCTACTCGTTTTTTTTTTTCTTTTTAGGGAATGCGATTCTGACAATGAACTCAAAGGTTCAGCTTCTACAAGTCTTATGAAATCAATCATCGGACCTAGAATACAACAGACACTTCTAAAAGCTCAGACACCTATATCAAATGTGAACACATCCATGGCCAATATGGCTTTAGTTGGAAATAACATTATGCCGGGTTTAAACTCGGCAAACTTATTCGGAGTGAAAGACAATAGTAGTGATGACTTTTTCAACCAGCTTGGCTGGGACGGAAATTTATCGGACTCCTCAGTGAGCAGTACGGGAAATTCACATATGAATTCGACTTACCAAAGTGTTGCAAATACATCTACCTCGTCTTTTTCAAATTCGTGGAGTTCGTCGCAAGTGAAGTTGTCGCAAGTTCAGCAGCAGTTGCAGCGAAGCTTGTCCACGTCGTCGCAGCGTAGCCAGGTTACGAATAGTAACAATATGACTGGCTCGGGAAACAAACGACCAAGTGTGCTCTTGGGGCAACTTGGCCAAAGGAGTTCAAGTCTTGACCTTGGACAGATGCAGGGTCAATCCCCGATTCCACAACCTCAAAAGAGTCCAAGTTACACGCAGAGTAGAAATGGGGGATTTCAAATTCCCGCTCAGAGAGGTGTAATGGGATATAATAGACGTAGTCCCGCTGCGTCACCTGTACCTAGTATGGGGCAGGGTAACTTTAGTACCCCATTCTCTCCACGGACCCCATCTCCAATGCTCTCTCCTTCACCAGGTGAGTAAACTTCTGTTTAACCTGTATTATAGACCACCTCTGAAAAAAACCCAAAAAAACCTGTAAATAAAGGTTTAATTCTTTAAAAACCTTTCATTGATTAAATAGAACATGTTAACCTCTAAATAAAGGCCACTTGTTTATAAAAGCCATGTCTGGGTTCTCCTTTAGGTGGCCTTTGTCCACAGGTTTATCTGTAAAACATATCAAAGCAGAAATTTTGGGTTTCTTATTCACTGTCCATGCAACTCTTATTAATGAATCTACAGGGCTACTGATTTTCATCGCCTTTAAAATCGCTTGCCTTACTTGTTGTGAGAATGTAACTGACATATTTTAAGGTGTAGAAGGTTGATGTTTCTAACTCTTCAAGAAATAGAATATAAATTGTCAATGTTTTATACCTGTAATAGTTTTAATATGGGGAAAAAATGAGTTAAAAAATACATTAACTTTTAGCTTGATATGTTTGTTTCTTTTACTTGATAATAGTGAAAAAAGATTATTGTACTTTTCTACAAGGATATTGAAAAAAAAAACATGTTAGAATAAAAGCATACTTTTGATACAGAAAGATGTGTTTTTCCTGTTTTTGATACAGAATGAGCAGGTATTCCTGCTCACAAACATTGTTTTTCAAATAACACATGGTCTGAAATCTTTCCATAATTCTTTTTAATATCATCTTTAGTTTTATAATTTATAAATTATCATTTATTGTGTCGCCTCTACGGAGTAGTGGCGACATATAGGGATCACTTCTCCGTCGTCTGTCTGTCTGTCCGTCCGTCACAAAACTTGTCCGGACTACTCCTCATAAACTGCTGATGCAATTTCATCTAAACTTTACAGGAATGATCAGTACCAAGTCTAGTTGTGCATATTGTCAGCATTTTCCGGTTCAATGATTTTTGACAGAGTTATGGCCCTTTAATAATTTTTATTTTTAAAGTTTGTCAGGACTACTTCTCTTATACCACTAATGCAATTTCAATGAAATTTTACAGGATTGATCTGTAGCTCAAGTCCTTGCGCATATTGCACGGGTTTTCCGGGTAAATGATTTTTGGCCGAGTTAGGCCCTATGATAAAAAGGTGTTTTTTTTCTGTGTGTTGCCAGATACACAAAAGTTTGTCCGGACTACTCCTCATAATCTACTGGTGCAATTTTATCCAAACTTTACAGGAATGATTAGTTCCAAGTAAGTCTAGTTATGCACTGTCCGTCTGTCTGTCCGTCTGTCACAAAACTTGTCCCAACATGAAATTGGCCTTCATGAGGCGACACATGTGATCACTGATCGCTCTTGTCTTTTTATCATTTATCTTTTTCATCATTTACTTAGTAAAGGTAATATGTAGACTAATAGACTTGCATTTATATCAGGTATGCCAGCATCAGGTTGGGGGCACCAGCCAATGACCAGTAGTGCCGGACAATCCGGGGGTCACCAGCTGTTCGATGACCAATCATCATACACGCACGAGCGTCTTCTGCAGCATCTTACCGGGCTTGAGAGTATTACTGGTGACAAAAAAATCAAACGCTCAGGAAAACTCTGTCAGTTGCTCACTCATAATAGTCCTCCATCCAGTTCAAGGAAGTCGGAGCCCGGAACACCGAAAAGTGGGCGGAGTCGGCATAACAGTCGACAAGGGTACATGGAGATGTCGCCCGCTGACAGTATACAATCGCCTCAACCCGGACCTGGTCAGAGCCCGCCCGAGAAGCCACAGAGCACATCTAATGACGACGGGGAACACGTCGTTCATACAGACCATAAGGACACAAATCCTTTGTTAAAATCGTTACTTAGTCAAGAGGACGGTACTGATGACGGATCAGTCAAGGAAGACAACTCTTCAGTGAAAAATGAGCAGACGGCAGAGGCACAAGCTGTGAAGACTGCTAGCACGGTGGAGATGGAGAAAAATGAGGCTGAGGCTAAAAAGCCGAGTAACATTTTGTTAAAGGTAAATAGCAAATATCAAACTAAAATTTGATAATTATAGAATATACGTGTATGTATTATAAAAGAGTATGGTTTATTTTGGAGCATCACTAAATTAAAGTTCTCTTTTAATGAATTTTAACGCATTTGTAAATGAAACTTTGTAACACCGGAGGTTAGCTAAAATCATCTTGCATGTTTTGATGCCATTTGACCTAAATTGTGATATATATAGTGCATTGTAAAACCAATCAAAATGAAAAAAAAAAAAAAATTGTATGGATCATGAAGCCAAAGGTTCACAACATTGATAGATATGGTAATGAAAATACAATATTCTGACACATTTTACTTAAAGCATGCTAAATGTAACATGGTTTTAGATTATATGTATATTACTTCAACTCTTCATATATTTCTCTTTTACATTTAACCGGCTAGAACGCAGAAAGTAATTAGCCCTGTGCTATTAGTATTGAGCCGGGCCAGTTTGCACATCAATTTATGTATTTTTATATTGCAGGATGAAATTTATTAAAATTTGATTTTAAATTGTGTCTTTTATCAGGTGTTGTGTAGCTGTAAAGAAATTAATTTATCACACTATTTTAGAGCTATAGGGACTGCAGAACTGTTTCCAAAGTTGGATCAAATATTGATGAAGATATTGTGAAATTTATAAACATGTTTTATCACACACGCCCGTGCCGGGTGGAGTGTGATTTTGCGACTTTTCCGTACAAATATTGGTATTGCATGTTAAACGGCCGTGCCTATTATTTTGACGTGACGTCATTAGCGTTATACAAGCATAGTGTAAAGCAAACGCGCTAAATGTTAGCATTATACTATAGACGCGTTAATGAAAAAAATGACTCTTATTTCACTTTAAACAGTCTTTATTTTGGGTATGTGATTAAATAGAATATTAAAATTTTGTGTAAGGTCATACTGAATTTATTACACCTCGTTGAAAAAATTAATAAAATTAAAAACTTCGCCAGAGGGTTTGATTAAAATAATTTTTCATCAACTTGTGAATAAAATTTGTATTGAACCTTACCCTCAAATTTAAAATTCCTCTTTTTCTCTTTAAAAAAAATTTAAAAAAAAAAAAGGTTTTGGTTTTTTTGGGAAAAAATTTTAAAAAACCTTTTTTGAACATGATAAATTTTTTAAAAAACTCCTGAGCACAGATTTAAAGAACATGTTGGATGAAAAACAGGGAAAAACCTTTTAAATTTTAAAAAAACTTTAATTTTGAAGGAAAAAAGATAACTGCAGATCCAGTTTTCCCGCCCGTGAGTTTAATTACCTCCCTTTTTTTCCCGAAAAAATGTTTTTTGTAAACGAACGAAAACAATTTTTGAAAATCTTTACTAAATTTTTTTAACTTTGTGTATTTTTTAAATGTTGGGTTTTTTAAAGAAGGGCTAAGAAAAAAACCACCCTCTTTCACCTAATAGGTGGCGGGTTATTTTAAATTTAAAAATGACTATTTTTGATGTAACAAAGGGTCTTCATTTAGGGTTATATTTATTTTTAATTTTTTATTTTTTGGTTTTTTTAAAATGTTTTAAGAGAGGTTGCAATGTTAAATGTTGATGATTAACATATTCTCTAAATTTTTGCTATTTATATACTACTTCAAGTATAAAAAAATTAGTAATATAGTAATTGCTAGGTGAATATTTAAAACAACAGATTTGTTTGTTTTCAGGAGAGTACAAGTATCGATTCAGAACTTGCCCGCCAACGGCACCAGTCAGGCCCTCAGGAGCCTCAGTCAACTACAACTCACTCATTACCCATGCCTCCCCTTTCCTCACCCCTCACATCACCTGTGATGCAAAACTTTAATAAGTCACAGAATAGTCATGTAGATTCCTCACTATTGAAAGGATTGTTTAACTCTAGTTCTAGCTTGGGTCATAATCTGGTGACTAATACAAACTCGAGTGCCTTTGCCTCGATGAATGGCTCCATTGACAATAGGGCATCTAATGCGGCAGGGGCGAGTGAAGGGGTAGCAGTGTCACGCGAGAAAAAAATCGATAAACTATTGCATTTATTGTGGGAGGATAATTCGAACGACGGGGCAAGAGAGACAATGCGCGAACGAATTCAGAGTTTAAAACGGAAAGCAGACATGTTAGAGAGTGATACAGAACAAAATAGTGCATTATCGGGGGGATTGTCATCCTCCCAATCATCAAAACTCAGTAAGGAGAATGCTTTACTAACTCAGCTTTTGTCTAAAAAGGCCAACAATGATATTGTTGTGAATACTTTAAGTACGATACAGCCATCTGGTATACCACAACAAAGAATTCCACAAAATATCGCGTCGAAACTTTTAAAAGTGAATCCCTCGTCATTCATTTCCGCAAGTAGCGGGAGTGAAGCGAAGAGAGCACGTACGGATAGTGGGAACAATAACCAGTTGTCGACTTTGGAGCGTGCTTTAAGTGCGCCGAAACAAGACATTAATACAATCTCTTCTACTCAATCGTTCGATGCCATGATGGAGATTGGACAGAATTCAAATTCGGGAATTTTGTAAATTTTAAATGACAGTAGTTTTAAAACATCTCAGGTTTTAAAATCAGTTAAAATGAATTACATAGATTCTACAAAACTACTATAAAAAAGGGCAGTGGTAGTAGTTGGGGGCCCCAATATAACCGAAGTGGGAAACTAGAGACAATACTGAACCCCTTGTCGCCTTTAGATTTTTCAAAAAAAGGCCCCCAAAACGTTCAGCAGGGTATTACATTGGGATCTTTTCCAGAGTCGAATCAAAATGTTAAGCCGGAACCTGTCGGACTGGTGAACAATAGTGCTCAATCTTTGTCCAGTCACCCAAGTTTGAATAACAATTCCTACCAGAAAAATAACAACAACATAAACTCTGATATTTTACAACAGTTGGAGCAGGCCCTTAATGAATCCAATTTTAACCTCGATTTATTGCTTGGCAACAGTAACGTGTCAAGCATGGATGAACAGGTTGCCATTGACGCTATTCAGAAGCAGTTGATGATGGATATGCCTGTGTTATCAACAGGGGTGTCGGCATCTAATGTACAGACACCTAGTTTAGACAGTGGACGTGTTCAGGCCAGGTTTAGTCAGAATATTCCGGTACCCAATCAATCAACCGGTTCCCAAATTCAGCAAAATATGATAGGGAATCAGTTATCGGAGCGAAATCAGGTTGCACCCAGTGGGTTTCAAAATCTTGGGTCTCTGCGTCAAGGTATGGGTGTTCCTAATAGACCCCATCAGCAACTGCCTGGGTATAACCAGGCAACCCCAACAGGGCAAAATTATCCTGGACAGGGGCCAAGACTTCCTCATCCACAAGGTAAGGTATTTGACAGCATTATGTGTCATATATAAAAAATATTTTTTATGAAAAATGATGCAATATAGGTAGTATAACATAAATTTATTTATCTAAATATATTTACATGTGGCAATTCTGATCTTTTGTATACATACTCTCCTGTTAGCCTATACTGGACCTTTCTGTTTTGGTATACAAAAAAAAACAAACTCTGCAGAGCAATTTCCTTTGTTAAGACAAATAAATACATGCTGGGAAGTGTTGTTCTAAAGATGAAAAATTCATTGTTAAGCCTTACCTTGGTAAGAATTCTAATAACTCGTTGATGACCAGTTTTTGTTCTACACAAGGCTGCTTATCAGACATTACAATTGTAAAATTATCCGTGAAATAAATAGCCATTTAAGAAATAATATAACCCCAATAGTTTGGAGTTCGGATGCGAAGTATTATATCACAAGGGCATGACCTGAGTGATATAATTCTGTGCATCCCAACAACATACAGTGATTATATAAAGCTGTAAAATCACTGCATGGGATATATTATATTGATTCTAACATGACATCAACAAATAGATGCTGCCGTACCTATAAGCAAACAAAGTTGTGCCCAATTTATTTCCGTGATTATTTTCATCATGTCACATTTTTAATTGTTACATCACATTGCTAAATATATATCGTCAACAGTGATTTTATTGCAAATTGACACACACATTCTGTGTTCAATAGGAAAAAATGCGGGTCATGTTGGAATTACTGTAAATGCATTTAATGATTATTTTGAGGTAATTTATGACCATTTTTTTTTTTTCAGGTGCCTTACCATCTCCAACACAACAACAACAACAACAGAGGCCAATGTTTGCTAACTCGAATCCCAATTCTACGGCCATGCAGGTTGGTATATTGATGAATAATTTATATAGATGCCCACAAGAAATAAGGCCCCAGGTTAAATGAACAGAAACATTACTTTGCCTAAGTTACAGATATGAGCCAGATGTTTAAGGCTATATGCTCAGAAGGCTTTTTATGCTTGTTTAATTGGTTTAAATGCTGAGTTTAACACATTTTTGGTCATATATTGGCGGTCAATCAAATTAACTGGTATTAATTGGATATTTTACCGGTATTTACCAGCTATTGAGCAAATGACTAATTACAAATCACACATTGTTTGCTCATTCAGCAGTTAAGAACTAATGGCCATAAGACTCTATGTCTGAGATCAATATCATAAAAAAAATGTTTCGCCCAAGGATTGAATCAGCACCCTCCCTCTATTGAGCTTAAGCAAGCAGTCAAAAGTTTTGTCTGCTTGATAAAAATTTCTTATATATTGCAAAGAAATTGAAGTCACTAGTCACAAATTGCCCGCTTTGAAGTGAAAGTTCTGTTAATATCTTGATACAGTGTTGGTGTGATGTAAATCCAAGGCCCCCCCCCCCCCCCCCCCACACACACACACCCCAAAAACATGTTCATTGTGCCTGATACAATGCACAAAGGAAAACCTGTGGTCTTCCACTTTCAGTTTAGCTAGAAAGTTTTCATATATGATCTTTAGAATGAATGTTGATGTGACTTAAAATCTAAAAAAAAACTACATAAACCGCCCCAGATATTGTGTCAGGATAACTATATATAACCTTAGAATAGTAGTGTATGTATATTGTAACTGTGTTAAATTTAATTAAAAAAAGAAATTATGTAAATCTCATGTACTGTCTTTCTAGGTACGACAATCACTGCTTCAACAGCAAAAGTTAAAACAAATGCGGGAACGGAACAAACATGTACAACAACAGCAAGATAGACAGAAATTGTTGATGCAGCAACAACAACAACAACAGCAACAACGTTCACAGTTCAGTCCGCAGTATTCAGGTCAAAGGGGACCACAGGTAAGATTTTTTTTGCGGCCTGTTGGTCAATATTTGCAATTATATAGCCAGGTCAGGTTGCACATTTACAGAGTAAGACCAAGGTATTTACTGTTCTCAGTTGGCTTCTTTAATTATCCCCCGCCGATGGAATCGGGAGGGGGATACAGTTTTGGCGTTGTCCGTCCGTCCGTCCGCTCTCACAGGAGAGTAATTATGTGGCTAAGAGGGACAATAGGTAACTGTTCTTTCTCTTTGATGTCATTCATTCCGTAATGCTTTTATGTGGCTATTTTCTTTTGTGTGGCTAAAAAGAACAATAGAGAGAACAATAGAGTAGCCACATAATTACTGTCGTGTGAGAACGAGCAGACGAGAGCTACATTATGAGGTTTAGGTTTATGTACAGGCACTCTGTATGGTGTTCATTCCGTAGAGACATGTATTATGTGGTTAAAAATGCTCTTATGGGGTTAAAAAAATTTGCTCTTGTGGGGTTAAGAGATCAAAGGAATAACCCCACAAACACGTCTGCTAAGTACGTCCGTCCGTCCATCCGTCCGTCCGAATTTTGTTTCCGGAGTAGTTCTCTGCAACTACTGGCTGGAATTCAACGAAACTTTATGGGAATCATCAATATCAAGAGGAGATGAGCATATCGTCGGCTTGTTCCGGTCCGACCCTTTAACTCAGAGTTATGGCCCTTGATTAGTTATGTAGTATGCATATAGAGTAAAAATCGTTTCCGGAGTAGTTCTCTGCAACTACTGGCTGGAATTCAACGAAACTTTATGGGAATCATCAATATCAAGAGGAGATGCGCATATCGTCGGCTTGTTCCGGTCAGACACTTTAACTCAGAGTTATGGCCCTTGATTAGTTATGTAGTATGCATATAGAGTAAAAATTGTTTCCGCACTACTTCTCTGCAACTACTGGCCGGAATTCAACAAAACTTTATGGGAATCATCAATACCAAGAGGAGATGCGCATATCGTCGGCTTGTTCCGGTCAGACACTTTACCTCAGAGTTATGGCCCTTGATTAGTTATGCAGTATGCATATGGAGTAAAAATCGTTTCCGCGCTACTTCTCTGCAACTACTGGCTGGAATTCAACGAAACTTTATGGGAACCTTCAATACCAAGAGGAGATGAGCATATCGTCGGCTTGTTCAGGTCAGACACACTTTAACTCAGAGTTATGGCCCTTGATTAGTTATGCAAATATGCATATGGAGTAAAAATCGTTTCCAGAGTAGTTCTCTGCAACTACTGGCTGGAATTCAACGAAACTTTATGGGAATCATCAATATCAAGAGGAGATGTGCATATAGTCGCCTTGTTCCAGTCAGATACTTATAACTCAGATTTATGGCCCTTGATTAGTTATGTAGTATGCATACATCTCATTGGCATTTCCAGATTTTACTATTTAACACAAAGTTATGGCTCTGTTATTGCCCTGAATATTTATCAAGTTCTAAGAATATTACTGTTTATGCCATGATTAATATATAAATAAAGCCTTATGTCTTCAGTTGTTGTGTTAATAATAACCAGTACTCGGCGGGGGATATAAATTCAACGAATTTGCTTGTTGTTCATATATTCTTACATACAAAAACTCTGAAAATATTTGATGATCAGTTCAGAATTTATTGCAGGGCATGAATGTAGCTCCTTTAAATGGTGATAGCAACCAATAGAACCCCCAAGTTGTGACTAGCTTTTGTGATTTTGCCACCAGTATAGAGTCCGGCCAGCATGCACATGTTGTCACCTTAGTGCAATAACTGGTTAACTCTTTTTAATTTAGATGGACTTAACCCGTTACTGCTCTAAGATGACAATTAGTGCTATCTTGCAAGGCCCTAGACTGTTAGCTGACCAACTTGAGATTTTCTTATTGATTATCATTAAACTGATACAATGACAGTTCTAAAATGTCAGCTTGATAAGTCTATTTTAGAAAATTCTACTAGTGTAACATATGCTTAAACCATAAAATAGGAATTTAATTAGTTGGTTGTACATTTAGCTTTGAAAGAAAGCATTTTTATGAATTACCAATGAATGATTGTTATTAAACATAACACTTTATGCCTTTTCTTTTCATCAACAGTATCATGGTGGTTAACACATCGGACTAGTAATCTAAGGATTGCTGACTAGTGTGTGTTCAAACCCTGTCAGGGGGCAAGCCGTTGTTTCCTTGAGCAAGAAACTTTACATTCATTGCTTAGTACTGGTTGGTTCCAGGAACGGATTTGAGAGTGCTTCAATAAGCTTATAGCTTCCAACACAATCGAACTAAAATAAATTTGTATACACTAACAGTATCATAATCAATGACTTTTATTGGCTTATAATTGTAGGACAATCTATCTATGGGAGGTAATAATGTAATGCCGCCGTTTCCAATGGAAAACCTGTCGGAGCTCATGAATAGTGGGACGGCACCGAACGTTACCCTTCAGCGGAACCAGATCCCAGGTCCAATGTCGCCGCGATATCAGACATTACCAGGTCAGCCGGCCCAGAATCCCAACATGGGTTCAATGATGCCACCAAATCCGCAGCTGTCTCCGAACTTTAATCAGGCTCAGCAGCAGCAGCAGCAACAACAGTGGAATATTAGGCCAGGGCCGACCAGTATGGCTATATCCCCGCAGGTAAGTTGTTGTTGTTTTATTTGCTGGTGGTTGAATTTAAATTTGCATCAATAATAAAACATGGTCTGCCTGAAAAATGTTCAATTTTCATAGCCAGTTGGGCTTTGTCCATTACAATATTATATAGCCTGAACCAATTTTAACCAGCCCATAAATCTTTAACAGAAGTTGTTAACAAAACATGGCATGACAGACAATGTTCCCTAAATGTTATGCTAGCCTGAATAGAATTTTACTTGGACCGCAAATAGAAATTATATTCCTGGGTTTGGTGCTTGTATGTTTTTTGAAGACTGATAAAAACACATAAAGATGTTTGAAAAATTTTAAGTATTGAATATGACTCAGGTAGGTACCTGAAAATACTTGATTGATCAATTGTAATAAATTTTATATTAACAGGGAACTGCTCAATATAATAAAGAATAGATGGTTATCTGGCGGAAACCCTTCGGCTTCCCTCCAAAAAGGGTTTCCCCCCTTTAATAAAGGGCCAGTATGCGGGGAAAACATTTTTAGGAAATTTTCTGTATTTTCCCAGCAGCAGAAACCCAACAACAACGGTTTATAAAAAAAAGCGGGGGGACAACCCCCCAGGGGGCCCAACAAGTAAAAAAACCCTTGAAAGATCTATGAAAAATATTTTTTTTAAAAGAAAAATAGTTTCCCTTTAAATTTTTTTTATAGATTTTTTCTTTTAAAATGCATTGGAAATTTTTGTTTTAACATATTGCTTTGATTATGTTATCATTTATACTTTAGCTTCCTTATTTGAGCATGGCCCAATGGTTAAGGTGACCAACATCAAATCACTTGCCTCTCTCTGCTTTGAGTTCGAATCCCACCAGAGACTTTGTATTCTTGCATATGAGGAAGTTATCCAGCTAGCTTACAGAAAGTTAGTGGTTCCACTTAGATGCCCGCTCATGCCTGAAATTATTCACTAGGAGGCAGCCCAGGTCTTCCTCCACTGGAAAAACTGGAAGCTCGCCATTCGATGTACAGTGTTGGTTTGACTTAAATCAAACAAACAGAAGAAGTCTTATTAGTATTGAATTGTCAATAGTATTTTATCCTTTATATCCAAAAGTGATATTTTTATGCTTTTTGATATTTATTTATAAAAGAATTCATTGCTTACAGTCATTGTATATTCTTATGTTGTTCTCTTAAAAATTTTTGTGAGTTTGAAAAAGGGAAATTTTGAAATCTTAGGTGGGGGGGTTTTCCCCGGGGATCTCAAATCCCTTGGTCCTGGGTCCCAACCCTTTTCTGATTTTCTTTTTTATAATGGGATACGAACTTTCCCAAAAATTTAGAGACGCAGCAGATTAGTCCATAAAACCCCAAGGAGGTTTTGGGGTTTCTTTTGGGGGAAAGGGGTTATGGCCTCCCCGGTTAAAAACCCTTTCCGGGCACCCAAAAATCTCAGAATCAAGGGAGCGGCCAGCTGGGTTTGAATTCACACAGTATGGACATTGATCTGACAAGTTTGTTCGACAGGTTTGTAATACTTTTTGATCGAAGGAATATTAATGATACGGTAGCTTGATAAAATTTTCTCGCAACATGTTATAGGCTAACCGTTCTGTTTTGGTAAGGTTCTTTTATATTCCTTTTAGACTAATACTTATAACACCTCTTAGAATTGAATAAGCTTCTTTTGTACTTACTGAAACCTCTACTGATATTTTTTTATTGTGTTATTTATTATTTGTGTTCTTGTGTGGTTTTATATAGTTGCTAACTGTTAACTTAAAGCAGAGGCATAATTTTTTATCAATTTAGCTTACCTGTATGTATGTAGTTTTACCTGGATGGCACGTTTTTACATGAAATAATATATCAGGGGATACATAAAACCTTTCTTTGCCATTGCAAGATGTCAAAAATGCCATATAACTTGTTACTTAAACCTCACAATGAAATACGGTTTAATATGATTTTATTATGCTCCCCGAAAAATTTCGGGGGAGCATATAGTCGGCGCCTTGTCCGTCTGTCCGTCTGTCCGTCCGTCCGTCTGTCCGTCTGTCCGTCCGTTGTCTTGTCCGGAGCATAACTTGAAAACCCTTGGAGATAATTTGTAGAAACTTCATACAGTGGTAGAGGGCATCGAGGGGGAGTGCAGTGTCAAAGAACCATAACTCTATTTTGCCCGGTTTTTGAATTATCTCCCCTTATAGAAAAATCTTGTCCGGGGCATAACTCTAAAACTATAAGAGATATCAACATGAAACTTTGTAGGTGAATAGATCTCAATGGGTAGATGTGCAGTGCATAAGAACAATAACTCTTTTCATCCTAATTTTGGAGTTATTGCCCTTTGTTAATTTTAATACTTTGAACTTTGTCCGGAACATAACTTGAAAACCCTTGGAGATAATTTGTTGAAACTTCATACAGTGGTAGAGGGCATTGAGGGGGGGTGCAGTGTCAAAGAACCATAACTCTATTTTGCCTGGTTTTTGAATTATCTCCCCTTATAGAAAAATCTTGTCCGGGGCATAACTCCTAAAACTATAAGAGATATCAACATGAAACTTTGTAGGTGAATAGATCTCAATGCGTAGATGTGCAGTGCATAAGAACAATAACTCTTTTCATCCTAATTTTGGAGTTATTGCCCTTTGTTAATCTTAATACTTTGAACTTTGTCCGGAACATAACTTGAAAACCCTTGGAGATAATTTGTTGAAACTTCATACAGTGGTAGAGGGCATTGAGGGGGGGTGCAGTGTCAAAGAACCATAACTCTATTTTGCCTGGTTTTTGAATTATCTCCCCTTATAGAAAAATCTTGTCCGGGGCATAACTCTAAAACTATTAGAGATATCAACATGAAACTTTGTAGGTGAATAGATCTCAATGCGTAGATGTGCAGTGCATAAGAACAATAACTCTTTTTGTCCTAATTTTGGAGTTATTGCCCTTTGTTTATTTTAATACTTTGAACTTGAACTTTGTCCGGAACATAACTTGAAAACCCTTGGAGATAATTTGTTGAAACTTCATACAGTGGTAGAGGGCATCAAGGGGGAGTGCAGTGTCAAAGAACCATAACTCTATTTTGCCTGGTTTTTGAATTATCTCCCCTTATAGAAAAATCTTGTCCGGGGCATAACTCTAAAACTATAAGAGATATCAACATGAAACATTGTAGGTAGATAGATCTCATTGAGTAGAGGGTGCAGTGCAAAAGAAACCATAACTCTGTTAAGCCTTATTTTTGAATAATCTCCCCTTTTAGAAAAATCTTATCCAGGACATAGTTGTAAAACTATAAGAGATATCAACATGAAACTTTGTAGGTAGATAAATCTCAATGGGTAGATGTGCAGTGCACAAGAATCATAACTCTACCTTGCCTAATTCTGGAGTTATTGCCCTTTGTTTATTTTTACTTTTTGAATTGTCCAGGACATAACTCGGAAATCATAAGAGATATCATCAAGAAACTTTGTAGGTTGATAGATCACATTGATTAAAGTGCAGTGCAAAGAACTGTAGCTCTGCCTTGCCTAATTTTAGAATTATTGCACTTTGAACTTTTTCCACGGACATAACTCTGAAACTACAAGAGGTGTACTTTCCTGTGTCCAAAACCTATTCGGGGAGCATCACCCGGCTCAAACCGGGCTCTTGTTATTTATATTATTATGAAGTTTCATAATAACTTGTGAAATTCATATTGTATATTCTACTTTTATTACAGCAGTAAAAAGCCAATAGATGTGCCATTAAGTGTCAACACTCCCGGCCCTCCAAAGACAATCAAGGAAGAATTGCGCAATTTTTGTAATGCAAGATCTCAGAACAGCCTTCAAGGTCAAAGTTCACTCCAAAACAGCTTGCATGGTCAGAATTCACTGCAGAGCAGTCTTCAAGGTCAAAGTTCTCTTCAGAGCAGTCTCCAAGGTCAAAGTTCACTTCAAAATAGTCTTCAGGGTCAAAATTCACTACAAAATCAAAACTTCATACAGAATCAGGTGTCAATGCATAATTCTCTGCAAGGTCACATGATGTCGGCGCACCAATCACATCAAGTGCAGCAGACACAACAGTTCATGTCATCTGTGCAGCAGACGCAGCAGCATCAGTCAATGGAACAAGACACAATGTCTGAACTACCACTGGATATTTTAGAACAGAGTGAGTATAAAACATTTTGACATTTGTTAAAAAAGTGAAATTTCGCTTATGCATCTTTAACCAAAGATTTATTTTTGGTATCTATAGATAAAAATAGATAAAATGGCCTTTACTCAACAGTTGTGTGTGTTAACTAATTATTGAGATAGGCATTTAGTACTGAAGGTTTGACATCATAAATTTTGCAATGTTAAATAAAACATTATTATTTGATTAAATAGTTTCCTATTCAAGCAGTAACAACCTTTGAATAAAGTCATTTCCCAGTCAAGAAGTAACAATCATTTCCCACTGACAACATTTTAAATTGATGGAAATCAAGATGTAAAGCATCAAATGTACCATTAATTGAAATAATGTATGTTCTTATATTGTCCATTTCTAACTTATCTTCCCCAGTTAATGAGATGACACAAGATCATGGCATTAGTCAGCCTGACTTTAAAGAAGAAGTGATTGTGCCAAAGAAAAGAGAAGAAGCAAAAAGCAGATACGTTAAGTTTCAGCAACTGGCCAATTCAGGTAATGTGTTTAAAATATTAACAGTTTTGAATTCTATGTTATTTGTGGGATTTCCTTTTGCAGGATCACAGCTTGCCACCTTATCACAGTAATAGGTTAACGCCTAGCTTGTCACTTCAGTGCAGTAACAGGCTAAACTCCTATTAAAATTTAATAGGAGTTAACCTGTTACTGCACTAAGGTTAAGATTGTTATGGTTTCTCATGGTTATATATTCATAATGCTGGGAACAGGGCATAAATGAAACTTTCCAGGGCCTTATCTCATTAGCGCCAGAAAATATGCTCAGAAGTGGCCTTGGGAGTTTTTCTGTGATCTGTATATATTATAATTGGTATGAATACTGTCAAAATAATTGCCTATAATATTGACTATGGTTTGCTATAGACTTTATATGAAAGTATGGTCATTCCCATAAGACACCTGGATAATGTGTAACATTGAATAGATGATATAAAATCTGTATATAAAACTGAACGGTGGTAACTTGATACAGTCATGTATTGCTGCAGTGAACAAAGTCACAGTTGTTTCCCCTTTCTAATGTTAGATAAATTTCAATAATAGATACAAACTGCCTTGTATTTTTGTTTTGAGTATTTTAAAATTGTACTTACTGAAATCTGGAAACAAAGTGATCCCTTGGAAGAATTACTCAAAATTGATTGAGTCTGTACATGAGGGATAATGAATATGTGCAACATCCCTCATGTCCCCTAGCACAGGCTTGAGCGGTAATTCTCAACACTTAATAGTGCTGGCTTCATTGATCCCGAAGGACCAGAAAATATAACCTCACTGAAGTGAAGTACGGAGAGAAAAAGTGAAAGTTGTGCGATTTTGTTTTGTTTAACCTCGCAGCAGGAATGGACCATATTTGCGCGCACTATATAGTTCTATTCCAGTTTATTCATTCCATTTATAACAAACTAAAATTGATTTATAAGGGTCTAAAATTTATAACATGTTTTTTAGGTTATATCTGTGCATGTGTTAACGTGTGTATCATAATTCGCAAAAGACACTGCCTCTTGTATAACAGCAGAAGATTTTTTCATGGGCGGGGCAGGGCCGGAGAAGTGATGCTATATACAATACAGTGATATAAGTCAAAATAGTACTTATACAATATAACATATACAATACTACAATGTCTAGAATAATAGTGTTGTTATTTAAATTACAGCAGATCCTGATAGTAAGGCAACGAGTTTGTTCCGGAAGCAGTTGACGTCTCAGGGTGCTGATAGAGCAACCTCGGCTTCCGCGGACACGAGCACCTCAACATTCAATGATCCTCATTCGTCTGTTAATGTTGTACAAAATGAACCAAGGGTAAGTATTAGTCATGTTTTCACCGTAAATGATCAATCATTTAGATGTAGTATTTTATTTTTTTAATGAGGTATTATATGAGGCTATTTAAATCATCCTTGGGATATGCGTGGCTGTGTGGTTAAGGTTGTTTACTTACGACCACTTGCCATTCACCTCTTGGGGTTCAAAACCTGTCAGGGACTTTGGATTCATTCATGTGAGGAAGCTATCCAGCTAGCTTAAGGAGTGTCTGTGGTTCTCTACTCTGGTGTCCGTTACTGCCTGAGCAGCACCTGAGGTTTTCCTCCACCAGTAGATCTGGAAATTCACTGTATTACCAATACTTGCTTGTTCTATTTTAAGACACATGTTTCTATTAATAGATGCCTTATTTTAGACACTTTGTTCTATTTATAGACACCTATAGAAGAAATCAAGCCAGCCAATCAGAAGGACAGTTTATTGCAGCAGTTATTGTCAGATTGATGAAGGCTTATTATTTAGGGATGTAAATATTTTTCATACATTTTCTTCATCAGAAGTTTAAAGAAGTGTACCTCAGTTCAGGGGAGAGTATCTTTTACTGCCCCCACTCTGCAGGATTTTTTTTTAAGAAAAAAGGGGAAGTTACTCCAATAGGATTGGATAAAGTTACTCTGAAGCTCCCATTTTAAGAATGGAGAGTATTCCTCATAAAAGAGAACCTGGAACTCTCCTTTCAGGGAGTTTATTTTGAACAGACTCTTCAATAGAGAAGTCACATTTTAGTGCTCAATTGGATTATCTCGGGTATGTTTTGCTGACTACAGATATTGTGTAGAGAAACAAAAGCAATTAAGTGTTTTACAAAAGTATTAGATTTTTCTTTCCTAGAAATAACTTGTGCTAAAGCACAAAGTGGAAATCAAGAAAAATAGTGGAAGGAAGGGAGTTTGTGTTGCATTGTGAAAGAAAGGGGTTGGTGAAAAAACAGAATTAAAAAAGAAATACTTTGTGCAAAAGTTGATTGTTAACAAAGAGATTAGTGAATGGATTAGTGAAGGACTAAGAATGTGATCAAGACTTAATGCTCGAAAGAAATACTTTGTTTTTTTCTTCTGTTAAAAGCAACTTTTCGTTAAGCTGCAAGTGCTTTTCAAACAGCTGTGATATTTTGTGAAGTGAAAGTAGATTGAAAGTTGCCATGGTGACTACTTGTTACTGGCTACGCTGTTGCGAGAATCGTCTCCCTTGAGAAAACTGACCATGTACGGGTTTTCTGTAATAATGACACAAACATCTTGTGAAGACTTTGTTGATAAAGTGTAAAATATATACAGAGAAAAAAAGACAAAAGCTGTTCGATATTTATTTTTCCTCGATTTTAAGGAAAATGTTCGGAAAGCTTACACTTGCGCATGAAACTGTTTTGGATTTAAAACTCACTGTGCCACAATGGAATTTGATTATTATAAAGTATGTTTTGATCTCAAAATATATATCTTTACAGAGATAGACATGATCTCTATGGAGAGGGTTGGATTTTTGATATCGACAAAGCTTCACATATTTTAATATAAATGAATTTTTTAAGGATATCTATTAAAGTATAATTATAAAGATTATGAAATTTCTGCACTTTTTGTTAAGTGTTTTGTTAGTGATTTGTGCTACAAATATGAGTTCTATGTGATTAATGCTTAGTGGAGTGGTAGTTGCTAGGCATTGTGTCAGGTGATTGTTGCCAGGCATTATGTTTTATGACAGTTGCTAGGTATATTGTCAATATTAGTCCTCTTACAGTTGCTAGGCATTGTGACTGGGAATTTTGTCAGGTGACAGTTGCTAGGTATTGTTCCAGGTGACAGGTTCTAAGCATTGTGTCAGGTGACAGTCGCTAGGCAGTGTGTCAGGTTACAGTTGCCTTACATTATATAAGGTGACAGTTGCCTGACATTATGTGAGGTGACAGTTGCTAGGCACTGTGTCAGGTGACTGTTGCTAGGCATTGTGTCAGGTGACAGTTGCCTGACGTGAGGTGACAGTTGCTAGGCAATATGTCAGGTGACAGTTGCTATGCATTGTGTCAGGTGACAGTTGCTAGGCATTGTGTCAGGTGACTGTTGCTAGGCATTATGTCAGGTGACAGTTGCCTGACATGTGAGGTGACACTTGCTAGGCATTATGTTAGGTGACAGTTGCTAGGCATTATGTCAGGTGACAGTTGCGAGGCATTATGTCAGGTGACAGTTGCTAGGCATTATGTTAGGTTACAGTTGCTAAGCATTATGTCAGGTGACAATTGCTAGGAATTGTGTCAGGTGACAGTTGCTAGGCATTATGTCAGATGACAGTTGCTAGGCATTATGTCAGGTGACAGTTGCTAGGCATTGTGTCAGGTGACAGTTGCTATACATTATGTCAGGTGGCAGTTGCTAGGCATTGTGTCAGGTGACAGTTGCAAGGCATTATGTCAGGTGACAGTTGCTAGACATTATGTCGGGTGACAGTTGCTAGGCAATTGATAAGGCAACTGTTGCTAGGCAATGCATCCAGTGACAATTATTAGACAATTATTAGTATTGTTTCTAGGCATTTAATCAAGTCAAATTTACTTGAAATCAAGTATTGAATTTGCTCAGAATTTGTTCTATGAAGAGATTTTTTCATGATTTGTTGACCTGTGTTATTTTTTCTCCTTTTTTTTTTTTGTTAAATGATATATCATTGTTAAGGCTCCCAACAGTGATATTTGACAGATCTATGATGCAGTTTACAATAAATATCTAAGTGGTTTACTTCATGTTATTCAGGCAATAGAGATACCCGGGAACTTAGCAAATTTGTTTGTTTTTTCCCCATCTAATTCAAGGGTACAAACTTTTAGAGTTACACCTCAGTAAATATATCAGTTATAAATGATAAACATTGATGTCTTTATTGTGAATGGTAAAACATCTTAAAGCTATAATGACAGTTTACCTTGAAGCTATAATGGTGTAGCCCGATTGATATAATGATCTGCATCTGAAAGGCAATATCAAGAGATAAATTTTTTTAAATAATATCAAAAATTTTATCAAGCTATAAAATAACTTTTTGCGATATATATTATTTCGATTCTAACACAAAATCAACATATGTATGCTGCCATACCTGATAAAAAGCTGGATTAAGTCTGAATTGTTTCAGTACTTATTTTCAGTGTGTCACACTTTTAATGGTTATGCACATGTCTAAAAATAGATTGTCAACAGTGATTTTATTGCATATTTACACACACATTTGGTTTTTCTATGTTCAATAGGGAAGAATATGGATCATGTTAGAATTTTCATTTTGGTTTCCCTAAATTGGATATTGTACAGCTTCCAAGAATTGAAACTAGTTTAAGAAGGCAATTTTAAGAAATTTGTCAGGTAAAAACTTGATGTTTTCTACTTGAAATACAACTTTTAACTTTGCTTCAGTTTCAAGAATATGATGTCAGTATATGTAGTTATTTTTAGTTTTCAGAATGTGCTTTTGCAATTCGTTTGATTTATTGCTTAAGTGTAGAAGTGTTGTTTTTTTTTCTTCATTTTTCATGCACTGAAATACCTCACCAGATACTTAGAACAGCCTTTTGGCAATAGCCAGTGTTTAAACAGGTCAAGGTCAGGCCAAATGAGATTTTTTTTTAGTCGTGAAATTCGGTAAATTTTGATGAAAAAAAAAAGCAAAACCCACACTTTATATAATTTGCCACATCAGCCAAATTATGAAATTATTTACAGTCTATCTGTCTTTGGAAACTTTTGGATCTCATTTAAGGAAAATATGCATTTAGACTTTTAAGAACAGCTCTTTTTACCAGACTTATTTAAAAGCAAGTGAAATAATGAAATACACAGAATTGTCAAAATGTGACTTATTTTTTTTTTTGTGTCAAGTATTTTTTGTTTTAGAAATACAGCATCCAATAAAATTACGGGGTATCCTATATTCAACAGTTGAGTTCATTTGGCCTTTTCCATGTAACATCAATGATAAAACCATTACCAACAGCAGTATATGACCGTATTCCACCAATGAAGCTGAAAGAGTCTTGCTAAAACGCTCCTGATAGTTGAACAATGTTATTTGAACTTGTCAGATATATAATATAAGGTCGAGCTTTGTATTTTCTCCCTATGATTTGAATATAGATAAGATTAACCAAATATTTAACATCAGACAGATACAGAACGGGGAAATATCTAGACTGGAAATATCTGGACACATACACACAGGGAGAAATCATACTACACTTGCCTTACAGCTAGTCCTATATAGTTTTCTCTAGCTGTGAACCCTGTCAAATATATTTCAGCATTGTTCAGTTGATTGTTACCTATAAATAGTGAGTAAGGAATATTGCGCATGTTATGTCGAATGGACTTAAAAAATAAGATTTGAGGGGCGTCCGTGGCCGAGTGGTTAAGGTCGTTGACTTCAAACCACTTGCCCCTCACCGCTGTGGGTTAAAATCCGGACATGGACTTTGGATTCATCCATGTGAGGAAGCTATCCAGTTAGCTTACTAGTTGGTGGTTCTACTCAGGTGCCCGTTTGTGCCTGAAATAATGCACGGAATAAAGCTGGAACGTTGCAATATGACCTATAATGTGTCAATGTGACATAAAACCAAAAACAAACAAAAAGTAAGATTTGAGGAGATATGTAATGGTATATGTGTGTGAATATGCTTGAAATTCCTAACTTTAGTGTTAACTCTTACTTTGCTGGAAACAAAAGTTATAAGTCTTTGCCACTAGTATAGAGCCAGGCCAGCCTACAACTAATGCAGTCTAATCAGCTCTTATACTATTGGCTCTGATATAGCTTTAATTGAAAATGGACTTTTCGAGAAATTGAACCTGGACAAGTCCATTTTAAGAAATTCAGCATGTTATGGGTTAATGGGTCTTTCTCATTGACTATAATTGAACAAATTTCAGCTTTGTTTCTGCACCACCATTTTGCAGTGAACTTTTTGATCATGATTTGAAATTTTCAACAACAAAAAGGGGGGTATGATTTTTTTCTGAATTTAGGGGTTTTTTTTAAACTGCTAATTTCCAATTTTTTTTCTCTATGAAATTTTAAAATAGATTGGTCAAACAGGATTTTTAAGATTTTTTAGTTTAAAGATTTTTATTCCAACTGTTTGAGGTCTAGACAAAGTATTGCTTTGGATTCTAGGATAAATTTTTCCTTGACATAAATAGGTTAAATTCTTATAGAATTCATTCGTTGATTTGTTTATTGTTTATACATTTTTGAAGTGCAATTTTAAACCTTATTTGACGGCAGGTTTTTACATGTACATAGATATATAGAATTATATTTGTACATAGGAAGTTTTAACAGATGGTCATATGTATGTGAAAACCTGTTTTATTTTGAAAATAAAAAAGAGATATATATATATATATATTAATGAAATTATATGAGCCGCGTCATGACAAAACCAACATAGTGGGTTTGCGACCAGCATGGATCCAGGCCAGCCTGCGCATCCACGCAGTCTGATCAGGATCCATGCTGTTCGCTTACCAAGTCTATTACAAGTAGAGAAACTGATAGTGAACAGCATGGATCCTGATCAGACTGCGCAGATGCGCAGGCTGGTCTGGATCCATGCTGGACGCAAACCCACTATGTTGGTTTCGTCGTGACGCGGCTCCATATGTCATATAGTATAAGTGTTCATATATGTTTAGATACAAAGTTGAAGATCTTTAGTTAGTGAACGGAATGTATTAATATTATAGATTTAAGGGTCTATTATTTAAATACATACTTAGAAAACTAATATTCTTTCTGATGAAATTGGAAGAAAACATCTCTCTATTATGTAATGTTTATATTATAAAAACACAATTTTACAAAATAAATGACTATCATGAATTTTATTTACTTTAAAAAAACTTTTCCAACAAATTTGAACATTTGTTCAGGAAGGAGGCAGATTTTTCTTCATATTTTTTACTTTTCTCTGAAATCTTTTGCTGAACTCGATTTTGTCCATAGATGTTTATAAAATAAGATGTTTATAAAATATTATTGTAAGACTATCAGGCAGGGAATCAAGAAACTTAGTATCTCATCAAATTCTCTTGTATATATTACATCTTGTCAAGTTTTTTTGTATACTGTATATATATATGTATATATATATTACTTTTAATTTGCTGTAAATAATGCTTTATACGAGAGTATTTTGTATATAAATATGAGTTTTTTTGCCCCAAGAGGGGACACTGGAGAAAGTGTTATATTCAGTGCGCCTCAGATAATGATATGTTGAACAATTTTGTGTATTTTCTGTGGTGTAGCATGAAAAGGTTCCAGTTTTTAAAAAATGGATTTGATGATGAATCAAGTGTGATTTTAGTTGTTTGATTTTCTAATCAAATGTTCCTTGTGAAGGTTGTTATGATTGTTAAAGTTTTTCGTTTATTCTGAGGAACATGTTCTGATATTTGACCGGATAATCATTCGATGATATTGATGATCACACGTTATCCTAGTGAACAGTATGTTTTATTTACCATTATTGTCAGTTATTATATTGCAGAATTTATCCCTTAACCTTCTCGAATCGAATGTGTTTAGCCTTTGCCAGTAGTATAGACGTCAGGCCACATTGCAGTTCTGTGCAGTCTTTTCAGGCGTTGGTAACTCAATTTTTGTGCTTTTATATTGAAATCCCCATTCTTTTTCAAAGTTATTCTTCCAACTTCAAAGCAGGGTGAACACATTGAGGGTGATTGTCAATTTTGGAAGATCAAGTAAGGCTTGGAATCTGTATTGAACGCTTCTAAAAAATTGTTGCTATTTTTTCTCATATCTCCTTTAAAAATAAACAAAATACAATCATGTGAAATTGTTTTATAGAGAATTTTATGGTAATTTTACACACCAAATGATTTCTTTTTAATTTCTCTTACAAGTGTATTTTTAAAAGTGAATATTTTTAATAATATTTTTATTCGGAATACTGTTTATCGGTAAATTATATTTCATGTAAGGTTAAAGTATAAAAAACAAAACAAATTACAAGAGTTATGTTCTAGTAACTGGGAATGATTTGTAAACATATTAATTAAGATTAGTTACAGAATGACAACATTTTAGGGGGGGGGAGGGAGTGACAAATATTGTTTTAACATTGGATTTTTATGCCCTAACTCCTTTGATTTGCCCTGGTTCTTTATGCTGTTAGACCGTTCACACACTGACAAAACAATAGTAGGTTGGAAATTTTGATGGATTTTGGTTAAAATTATTTGGTCTGACCATAGCTTAAGCTTATTCTTTCTAGTAAGGAGTATAGAAACAACATGTTTGTTACAATCCCCTAGGGTCTTATTAAAATAGAAAAGCGCTGAATCCATACAATTAAAAAAAAAATTATGGTTATTTTGATATATTTTGTTCCTTTTCTAAAGCACTTTATACATGTATATGATCTGTTATTTTTTCGGGTCTTTTTTCTTAAACTCTTTAATTTTGATTGTTTCCTTTTAAAATTTTAGAGGTTTTATATGAACCATTTTATATTATTGAGGTAATTTTTATATCTTTATCAAATTGATTTAATAGCTGAACCCTAAGTCTCAATATTTTATTATTGTGCTTATTAAGAATTTAAAAAATTTTTAAAACTAGGTTCAGTTTAAGACAGTTAAAAAAGTTGTATTATACAGTTTCAAAACAACTTGGATAGAAAACTGTATGAGATAGGTTTGGGGGGGGGGGGGGACAGTTAGGTTTAATTGGCTGTGCTGTGAGGATTTAATTATATCAATAGCAAAGTTACTAATATTTTAATAAGTTTAAACAGTTTTATAGGTCTGTATTTTATATAGATATTTGCATCATTTTTAAAGAGTTTTTTTTTAAATTTCATGGTGAAATAAGCAAGCTTTTCATTCTAATCACTACTATCATTATTATACATTGAACCTGATCTCAGCAGAACGATTGAGCTTTTAATAATAGCAGACGTTTTTTTGGTACCTGTAATTTAATAAAAAATAGAGTGAAATAGAATCCCTAAAGAAAAGCCCAAAGCGGCAAAATTGTAAATGTTGTGGGCTTGCTTTGATTGAGCCTGTCTGTCCAAGAAGAAATAGAAAAGAAGGGAAAGTTGTTGATCAGTTTTATTGTTATCATGGCTTTTCTGTTGTTGTCCCTATCCATTGTTTTTTCCTTCTATTGTTGAATAAAGGGTTGTAAATAATTGAGCCGTGTCATGACAAAACCAACATAATGGGTTCGCGACCAGCATGGATCCAGACCAGCCTGTGCATCCGCGCAGTCTGATCAGGATCCATGCTATTCGCTTACAAACCTTATTACAAGTGGATAAACTGATAGCGAACAGCATGGATCCTGATCAGACTGCACGGATGCGCAGGCTGGTCTGGATCCATGCTGGTCGCAAACGCATTACGTTGGTTTTGTCTTGACGCGACTCATATGAGAGATTGTATATAAGAAGTGTACCAGAGAGTTATTGTAAATAGGTGTCACTATTAGATTGTAAATAATAGCCCGCTGTATGAGATATCTTGTATGTCTATTGTTGTACAGTGAATCATTGTTGCTCTTGCAAATAAAATAAATAATCTGTATGGAAGAAAAGTTTGTTTTATTTCGTAAATACTTCTTCAACCTGACACTGCCTTAGATAATCTCTATTTACCATATTAATAACCCACATATTTTTTTAAGCGCCGGATAATAACCCTCTACTGTTGACGTATTATCAGAAGTTATTTCCTGTAGACGCTAGAACTGAATTTTTTTAGAAGTCCCATCTCTTGATGATATGGTTGAGATTGTTTTTGTTTGGTTCACTACTTAACTCTAATTTGGAAAATAGAAAAGACAAAAGGAGAGCTATAAAGGAACATTTTCCAGAGGAGTTAGGTTTAAATAGAAAACGTAAGGCAGTCATAGAAGAATCGTACCAAAACTTGAAGAGATCTAAGCCTTCTGCTACTGTTTCAAGCATGACTTCTAGAACACCGTCAAACTTCTCTGATTTTCGCATACCACGCATTCAAAAAAGGGAAAAATCTCGGTATCATAAGGGAAGACGTTTTTCTAGGGAAAACAGATTTTACCAGACGCTCAAGTGTCAAGGAACGACTAGGATACACAGTTAAAAATGACAAGGTAAGTGTTATTGCGAAGTTCCCAGAAATAAATATCGGAGGCCGTTTGTCTCATTTTTTTTCAAGAATTGAAAATATAACGACAGGCAAATGGGTACTGGACATCATTCAATACGGCTACAAGCTAGACTTTTTGAAGATTGTAGTTTTCAATGGAATAAAGGAAACTTGAGTTCCATCTTTTCAAACAAATCTAATAGCTTTAGAAATAGAAAACCTTTTAAAAAAAGAAAGCTATCGAAAAAGTAGACAAAACCATTGCACATTGCGGTTTTTACAGCACTTTATTATTAGTACGAAAGAAAATGGGGAAATAAGACCGGTGATATGAATAAGTATTTAAGGAAACTTTATTTCAAAATGGACACCTAAGCAAAGTCCTGAACCTATTTCAAACGTTTAACATTAGACTTAAAGGGAGACACAGGTAAAATGTTCATTTCTTAGTTTTGAATTTTGTAAATACCCTCA